TTTAATGCTGGTACACAGAGTGACGTATTTTAGTAAATACTTTGAAGAGGCGGACGCTCTTCGAATATTCAAAACCTTCATAATTAACAGAATAACGCATGGTATCCCACACCAAGAGCTTAGTAAGACAGACATTGAACTAGCGCATACCTTGATTTGTACTGCCTGCAAGGCTGCTCTCAGCCTAACAATTGGAACATTCACAGATCTGCTTCTTGCCTTGGGGATCTATAACACCTTCGAGGAAATTAGGGTCATGGTCATCATCTCGCAGCAAGAAAGACGTAGCCTGTCGCCCACAGATAGGAAAATATTACGGGGCTTAGGAAATATTACGGGGCTTACGGCCCCAATGTAGAGACGAGGTACTGGTGCCTCTTACCGCTCGTATCTGTGCCCAAATCCATATCGTTCCTACACCGAAAAACATGAATCCCTTGCACCACCAAGCACGCCGCCACACCAGAGCCCAGCAACTCACCAAACAACAAAATGTTTTCTCTATGAATTGTTTTCTCTCTCTCTCTCTCTCTCTCTCTCTCTCTCTCTTTCACCAAACGTTCGGAAGGGACCCGGACACGCTCTATACGGACGCAGTCCACTGCGGTCTGCATAGCTTTTCATTGGCCGCTGTTGGTTCGGTACGCCACCCCACTTTATTCACCTTTGCTTCAGCTAAGACTAACGCGGCGAACATGGTGGAAGCCCTCGCGGTAGCACTCGTCATCAAAACCAAAGGAATCATGAAACAGCGATACTATATCTTTATGGACTCCCCATTTGCATGTCGTTATTTCACTGACGGCCGCGTACCTACAAGCATCGCACGCCTCTTAGGTGCAACACTAGACCAGGAACAATGTATCATTTCGTGCCCAGGACATATAGCAGAAACGGGTAACGACAGAGCAGACAGTGGAGCTCTGGCCATTAATCACCGAGCGACCGTCACTCGTCCAGATAACCTTTTGCTACTCCAAGCGCCCTACACTTAGATTATCTTAGAACACCAGCGTCGACCACGACGGCGATACTCCCCGCCCCATTCTCAGCTGAGTATAAAAATAAGTGCAAGACTGCCGCCGCCTGCAGACAAATACATACCCGCACCAGCATTTAAAACATGCGATGCCCCCAGCTGTATACGCCGATTCATTCCCGTGGTGTGGAGGACAACCCACACTTGCTCACATTACATGGGGATGTGAGCTAAGAGCAGCCAAAATTATTACGCCTCAGATTCGGGCAAAATCTTCAAGATCGAGCAGTGCGAGACCTTACTCTCCAGCGGTGAAAAAGAGGCGCAAGTGGCACTCCTGGACTAAGTGCGGCGGGCTGCTGAGGCCAGTAGATCCCTTGACTAGGAGCTCCACCCACCTCCATCTCACCCTTATTTCATGTTTTTTTCTCTGTTGTGAACGATTTTTCTTTCATTCTATTAGTGTGTGCCACAAGGCAAGCAATGAATTCTAGTAACAGACAGTGCTCCACGTTTTTGTGAGCAGTTTCAGTACGTCAGAAGCCCTTACAAGATTAGGACGGTGAGAAAAAAAAATATCAGATGAATAAATTCACGCCTTATTTTTGTGCCACACACTAAATTTTTCAACTGGCCCAAGGTTGAGTGTATCTGACTGCACAAATAGATACCTCTTTTTATTGTGACCGTTATCACGGACTGAACTGTATTATAAAGTGTACGCTCAGTGGAGTAATTTTTTCAATAAATATGAATAATAACTTCTTATCCTAGTTTATGTCACCAAATGTTATGCACAATTCATCAGTCATGGTAGACGAAAAAAGTGCTTAACAGCACAAACGACAGGAGCGGATAGAAGAGACGAGAACAGAGCGTTCAATTAACAAGCAAAGCAAAGCAAATTAAGAGCAAGAGTAATGTGCAACAGTTTTGGTACAAAACAGCACTTTGCGAGAGGTGGAGAGATACTAGAAGTTGTAAAGCAATACCTCTACTTAGGACAGGTAGTAACCGCGGATCCGAACCATGAGAGGGAAATAACTAGAAGAATAAGAAAAGGTTTGATAGCATTTGGCAAGCTTTCTCGAATCGTGAATGGTTATCTGCCCCTAACTCTGAAGGGGAAGGTATAGCTGCATCTTGCCAGTACTTGACTACACAGCAGAAAGCTGCTTTTATATGGGACCACAAATGAGCATATACAGGAGTAAATGTCACATGCGCCTGCCAACTGCCAAATTATCTAATATGCGCCAATTTCAGAAATGTTTCATAACCCCACTTACCAAATAAGTCATGCGCTTTCCGGCTAATTGAATCCGCAAGTTGTGTTTTGGCGAACAGCGTCTTCCTTTAGAGTCTACATTATGGGTCATTCAAGAGCATTTCCTGTGGGATTCCTTTAGTGGGATGAAGATTTCCTAAACAGCTGCCTGAGTGAAAACTGGAGGGACGCGAGTTTTTTACTTGCTCCAAGTAGCACCACTGAAGAGTGGAAAAAAAAGTGTCATTTTTAAACATGCGAACTAATGCACAAGTCGCTCACGTCTGTCTTAGAGAGAGGACTTGTACCATAGAGGTATTCGTCGCTGTTCGTGAAAAGGAATTTAAATGCCTGCTTCAATCTTGATTATTTATAGTTTTCAGCACACTTCGCCTCTTGCGCCTGTTTTGCATTGCTACATATAAGTTTCACATTTATTAGTAAAATACATCGCTTGCGATTAGCACCGTGTGGTTCGTTTCCTTCTCGTCTAGTCTTGCGCTGCAACCAAGTTCACTCAAAACGTACTGGCTCAACATGACGTGTCGACGCCATTGAGATGCTTTTTTTGCATTAACCCTCTAGGAATTAGCGTGCCCCTGGATGCTGATTCACTTTGTAACGAATGAGCTCAATGCTGTGCGCCCATTCGTAATATTTTGCAACGTACTAGCATGGCTGAAGATTTTTGTATGAAGGTCCTGTTGACCTCAAGCGGGGTGATAAAACACTACTATTATATTATTATTATTATATGTGGGGTTTAACGTCCCAGTTGATTGATTTGTGGGGTTTAACGTCCCAAAACCACCATATGAATATGAGAGACGCCGTAGTGGAGGGCTCCGGTAATTTTGACCACCTGGGGTTCTTTAACGTGCACCCAAATCTGAGCACACGGGCCTACAACATTTCCGCCTCCATCGGAAATGCAGCCGCCACAGCCGGGATTTGAACCCGCGACCTGCGGGTCAGCAGCCGAGTACCTTAGCCACTAGACCACCATGGCGGGGCATAAAACCCTACTAATCCCCACACATTTCAGTATTGCTTGCAGTTCCTGAAAACACCATGACATAACGCAAATCAGGACAACATATATGTGTTGGTCACCACTTGCTGCAGAAATCCATGCTTTTCTGAAAGCCCAGTTCAACTAAAAGAGCTCATCTGACTTGAAATGAAATACGTTGGTCAAAGGGGTCGCTGCGCATTGTAGCATTTCACTGTGCCGAGTGTGAATGCACTCTTAGCTTTGTACGGAAGCACATCCTACGCAGATATTGTGATTTCTGTGCCCAGGAGATATATGAAGTGTTTAATATGTTTTCTATTGGGCCAACTTGTGTAGACGCATCATCCATCGTATATACCGACAAAAGATAAATTATTTACGTGCTTGAACCGTTGAGTTTCATCTACTAGTTGAGACGCATGCGCAGTGACTTCATTTTTTTATTACCCTTTTCCAAGGCGTACAAAATGAAATAAACGCTCGTGTGGTCATAAGCTCAACGCTCTTTCTTGTCAAATTTCTTCCTCTTCTTTCGTACACCCACGCTGTTTTTTTTTTTCGCAAGGTAAATTGTTTCGACAACTTCCTTCGAATGAGATTAGGCCCACACATTTATTGCTATCAGACTTCTAAAAGTCGAATATTTATTTTCACATTTGATCAACTTTAGCACGCATGTATGCTCAGCTTGAGACCAACTTAAAATTAATCTCTAATCCACGTTGTAATCCAAACAAAATGAAGCCGCTAGGTTGGTTCGTTCAGGCTATTTTTATCATACAAGTGTCATTGAATCTAACTTTTGCCTTCAACTTGAAACCCTTGAGGAGTGCCAGAAACTGCAAGACTATGTCTTCTTCGTCAGCTCTATAAACCTTCTGATCAGGATCTCAAACTCATCTCAGGCCACAGTCACAGAATGTAGTACCGTAAGTGCTGGGACTTGGTAGAGTACGAGAGATGCAGCAGTGGAGGGGTGAGTTAAGCAAACAATATCATTGAACCTTCCCATACGTCATATATACGGGTTCTTTCTCGAAAGATTTCGCGCCAGGATTTTATTTAACATGCCAATGCCGATCTCCAAAGTTAGTAAAACCTATATGAGACTCTAAAATATCATTTTTGTTCCACGTTTAAGCTTCCATACGTGGCGACTAGTTTTGGTGCCTCACTAAATTAATGATCTGAGCATTCATGTCTTTGTAGCGCACCAAACATTCGTATTATCAAAAAAGAAAATACGAGATGAACATAGCCATGTTCGACTCACGGGCTTTTAAAGAGAGGTTCGCGGGCCACGAGTTGGAGACTTTGATTCTACGTCATCAGGCTGACATCGAACCCTTGCATTGTTCTTAATACTGTCATGGCCTTCGGTAGCCTACACTTACGGCCACACAAAGTCATCTCTCGTTCAGGTCGCAAAGGACTGGAAATGCCTTCCTGCTTGTGAAGAGCATCGCTCCAGCAATACATATTCCAAGCATATTAATCAACCCATCAAAGACTAGTTATGTCCAATTATCATTTAAGATGCCTGAATGCGCATTGAAGGTACTAATAAATTAGTAGCTAAATAAATAAAGACATTTAGTGTGGACCCATATGATAGAATTTGGTCACTGCTGTCAAAGGTATGGGAGGTATCAACTACACAAAGAGCGTGCAAGATGAACACAGGAACTCACCTCCGTCATGCTGCACAAACTAGCCGACTACAAAAAAGGGCTACGTACGCTTTCCTCAGATTCCGGCCTTGACGTAACCGCCAATCACAGATGATGTCTGTGCGCTTCAACTCAGCGGTTTTGGCTGTGAATACTTTCGCAGTATAAGCACCACAACCGCTATCACAAACTGCGCACTGGGGTAGTTCTGGAACTTGGTTTATATGTTGGAACTTTGCGGCTGTTCTGTGATGCACAGAGGCTTGGAGAGCGGCTGAGTATAGCTATTTGGATGGCTCCTAATGCTCTGCGAAAACTTGCTTTTTTTTATGTTCAACAGCTGTCTCGATAGAGCGTCATATCCTTTGCTTTAGGCGTTTTTTTTTAGACACGCTGGGCTCATGGAAGTTCATGAATGCACCGGATGTGTGACATGTGCGCGCAAGCCAGAAAATGCACATGTCTCGCAGGCGATTTTCCAGCGACGTGTTCATTTTTTTTGTGATGAGTGTTTTCGCATTTAGAGAGCGCGTCTTCCATGGTGACGGACGCTTTTTTACTTTAAAAATTATAATATTGACCTATTTTTGTTCTTAGGCGTAGAACTATTTCTTCTGAGTATGGGTCGCTGTCCCGTCTATTCAAATTACAACGCGATAAGAAGACACGACTGTCCCATGAAAAATTGCCGCGTTGTCTTTGTGGCACTTGTAATAATATTTGAATTTTAATTTGTGCCTCGAGCAGTACAAGCAAACCCGGTGCAGTGGGTTGGTGGTTATAATGCTCTACTGCTGACGTGTACGTCGATGTATCGAGTACCCTTCGTGGCAGCTGCATATGCAGTGAACGCGGAAATGGTCGAGGCCCATTCAGGTCCACGTGAAGAAACCCCTGGTGATCAAAATATCCCCAGGCTTCCACTCCACGGCTCTCTTTTGCAGATTTCCTGGTGCTGAAGTGATGCCATCGTCTTGTTGACCAAACGAACAAATGCGTAGCCACGCGGGCATTCGCAAGAAAGCGAGCGCTGGCGTTCCAAATGCTCTGCTTCGTGCAAAACATGGGCCCTTCGTAATGCAAATGCGAGACACCGGTCGACGACAGGTTGGTCTTTTGAAGCTGCTCTGCAGTTAGTACGCAACTCCACGTACAACTGTTTTCAATATCTTCACTCAGAGGCATTACCAAGGTAAAAGGCATTAGAGGCAGGCTACAAAAAGTTGAGAAGCCCTCGCCCGCTATGGAAAAAGGGGGGAAGGCAAGCGTGCGTAGGAGAATCTGCCATATACTGACTTTTTTCCTTTTTTTTCTTCTTTCTTCATTTCTTTCTTCCTTTTCTTTCTCTCAGTTCAGTCATAGAGAAATATACTGTATAAAGTGTGGCCACTCGAGCCTTTTCACAGCCCAGTAGGAAAGAGTCTGACCAACCACTAGATCGCGTTCCCTTGCTCGCTTTTACTCCTTTTTCAAGACCTCTAAGAGCCGCCTCAGAAGTACAATAAAAACTGTAGTTTGGCCTCAAATTTTCGCAACGAAAATATCTTATTGATTCGTTCAATTGTCAACCCCCGCTCTACATTGTGTCCCTACAAGGACGTTTATTGCCTTCTCGCAAAAATTAGTAAAGTCTGAGTAGAGAGTGTTGTTTTTGCATTTGTTTTTGTCTAAAGGGTGTGCTTCCATGTGGTTTAGATGTGCGGTATATGTATTCCCTTTCAGAAAGCGTGCGTGTGTAGCCTAGTGCTGAAAGCACTCGCCTTCGACCCATGAGGGTACGGGTTCAAATTTAAGCACAGGAAAAAAATTCTAATTTTATTTACACTGAAGAGATTATCAGGTCTGACCAGCCACTGATGGCGCTGAAAGCAGCCCAGTAGCTGGGCCGCCGGGCCTTGCGGGAGTGTCCGCTCTTTATGTTAGGAAGTTTCTCTATGATTGAGTTATATTTCCTTAAGGATTGTCATTCAGCTTCTGTTACATAAGAGGTGAGATTAAAAAAATATTCAACACTCATGAGTCAATTACCATTGCAGATGATCAGTGATGCGTTCTTGAAAAATATATGATGAGGCACTGTTGATGGTGTCATAGGGTAGGCCGTTCCCGTCTGAAACTGCTTATAGGAATAATGGTATGCGATGGCGGGCGGGCAACTTGAAGTGGACGAATGGGGCCTTGGGAAATGCATCATGTGTCTGCGATATAAGGTCCTCAATTAGGAGACGAATGAAAAAACTTACAATAAAGAGTAACACTAGCAATGCGATGGTGACACGAAAGAAGTAGTAAACTGGATGCAGCTGGCAGGGGTGAAATGCTGATGTCACATAAACATAAAGAAATGAATCGAGTGGCGCTATTTTGAGCAGCTTCTAGTGCAGTGAATAGATACGCTCTATGCGGGCTCCAAATGGCAGATGCATATTAGTTTTGGTCCTGTAAGTGATTTACATGTGAGTATTTCAACATGAGAAGGGGCGAGTCGGAGCTGGCGTTTCGGAAAACAGAGTGTTTTGTTTGATGCTGAGACATTTTATTCTCTCTTTATGCTTAACGGTTCGCTCACACATGTGCTAGCACTGTTTACTATATGCCAAGCCTCAATCAGAGGCCTTGGGTTACTCGTGTGCCCGAACAAAGAAGCGCCTTCAACAAATTTTGGGGGACACTAACACTCACAAAATGTAAAAATAGATTAGAACGTGAGCCTTCGTTTAGCGATCTCTCATGTTTCCGGTGGACAAAGCTGTCCATCTGCTCAACGCACGCAGAAGAGCCTCAGCTAAAGCGAACCTTGTACACCACCCTTGTACAGCAATGACTTAATTTGCTGCCATGCTTTAATAAATATATCACGGCGCATTATTCAAATACCTACTCTTGTTTAATTCAATGATTGCAGCCTTTGTGGGCTATCGCCGGAGTGGAGGCGAAACGTAGGAATCTACTAAACATAAAGATCAGTGGCTAGTACCGTACGAAACGGGACGACTAAGAGCAGTGCAATTGAGGCTCTGAGCGCGAGGAGCAAGATGGAAAAAGCAGAGAAGAAAGAAACGTGTAGATAAGGAACAGCCATCTCACAGCAAGGGCGTTGTCTTTTTTCTGTCTCAATAATCACGATGGCACAGTCTTCAACGACAACCGAACCTTCAAGTGGAACCCTCCTATCTTCGTGAGCCATCGGCTTTGCGCGTCTCCCCATCCAAGGAACGCCATTCACGCTTCTTTGGCGATGAAGTCCGCAACTCGACCGCCTCTCCAGCTACCCATCATACATTCTGCGCAAGGCATTCATGCCTCGTCGATCAGTCCGGGGTATCACTTGAGAGGTGGCAGGCTACCGCCTTCCTCTCAGAATGCGCACGGGTGGCTCTCATCTGAAAATATAGCTGAGAAGCTTACAACAAATGATCATCCGAGGGACGCTGTTCATGCTTCCTTGGACGTACGTGTTGCCGCCGTACGTACTACTAGCACCGCATACTCTACACTCTAAGACAAAAATACCCGCAAAAGGAGTAACGGAGCCCAATAGGCGCACGTCATGAACGGATAGACCGTTGAGGAGTAACGACAGAGGGATACGTGCCGCGTATAAACAACTTACCCTCCAAAGGGATGAACCGCGCGGGAGATGTGGGCCGTGCGCCAACCACTGTCGAGAAAACTAGCCATCCTCCTCTCGCTTGGCTCAGTCTTCCCCCTTATTTTGCTGGTGATGGTTGGTGTTCCATGATGATGGATGGTAGCGCAGACAACGAACACGGACAAGAGAAGGCACATAGACACAATTGTCCGTGTTCGTTGTCTGCGCTACCATCCATCATCATGCAACCATACCAACAAGCCCAAATCGCCACCCTCGTTGGTGTTCCATTGCGCTCGAAGAGCTCGACGATCTGGTAATCGCGCCGCGGTGCTTTGTGCGTAGGTTTGGTCGAGCGTGTGCAACTGCTTTTACGTCTCGCCACACCCATGAAGTCTGGAGAAGATCTCGACACGTCGCCACGTTGCGCTGTATATCTCTGGCTTAGTCAAGATGGTCACGACCAACTCAAAACACCACCGGCTGGAAATGAAGTCCAACATGGCAGCAGAGAAGACAGCAGGCCTATCGGATACATTATTTCAGGCTGACTCAGGGCAGAATACAGCACTGGATTCTTTCCCAAGTACACTGTAAACAAAAAATATACCCAGCTGGGAGCGATCGGAGAAGGATGCGCCCGTTCTGCTCCGGTGACCTTATTCAAACTGAATTCTACGGGAAGAAATACATTCGTTTTCCACCGTTCTCCTCCAGTGATCGCTGGACGAAGGAAACCGGGAAAAAAAACATGTCATATCCCCTGATTATGCTCCCGTGCTTCCTCCGTAAATTTTCCAGCGCATCGCTTCTGCCCCGGTGGTTGCTCCTCAATAGGTGACCAATAAAATAGCGACGAATTGTGGGATGCGCCGTCTCCTACCGGCTTCCGGTTCGAGAAGAGTTGGCGACGGCAACCGGTTCGCCACAAGCCTCAGATTATTCGGGATACGCGCGCGTGGTCGTCTGTTTATCTTCGTCCCGATAAACCATGGTCGGTTGTTCAGCCGTTGGCTGCTCCAACTCGAGCGTGAACGGCAAACAGCGTGTATGGATTCCCATGGAATGAAGAAAGAATAAATGAGGTAGGCCGTGGCTGTGAAAAGAGCCGCAGTGACAGGTAGCCTTTGAATGCGGAAGGTGGAAGCCACAGTGTTCGAAAACCATTTTATCACAGATACGTGTGTATTCCACACGGAAAAAAGCTGACGCATGAATTTTATGCGAACAATATACTGAGAAATAAATTGTCGCGCTAACACCTAGAAAATATATTATGGGAACGCGCGGGTGCAATCGACTTGTCATACGAGATGACCGCCGGCCATTGCACTCATATATATCACAAAAAAACGCAAAATCTTCACTCAAGAGTAAGTTTACACGAAGCACTGGGTGAGTCCATTTGCGTTATTTTGGTCAAACTGTGTGCCAGAACGGCATCCAAAGGAACAAGTTTGTTAAAAAAGCACAGGGTTTCGATTGTTCGGCGCCGTTTACATCTGCCTGTATTGTTTGTGCCGCCATGCCACGTAGCTTCATCAAGATCACTGTTTAAATAAGCATCTAACTTCGACTAAGAAATATATCCCATAGCGCGCTTTAGGCTAGAAAAAAAGATCTCTCAACGCATTGAATGAGTGCTGCGCTTCATGCCGTCCGACTGACTATGTC